GATAAAAAAAAGGAGGGGGAGATGCTACCGGCAGATACTGCGGTGATGAAACGCCATATCATGGATTTTCAAGGATTGTTTCTGAAACAGTCTGGAGCTCGAAGGCTTTCTCTCTTGCCGGTTATACCACAAGGTGAGTTCCTTTTTATTTCCTGCTTCTTCACACACATGCTCTGTGCCGTACAGGTTAGCTCTGAGTGTTAGCGATGCTAATGTAAACATGCATCGACCATATTACGTCCAAAACAGTCGGGCATTGTTTCTGATAGCAACGTTTCTGATTGGGCCGTGGGTCCACATTTCAGATATTACGTCATATCGGACGCAAATCTGGATCATCTCCGTTGTAGCCCCGTTTTTAGAGATTTGGGTACGGAGGAAAAGAGAGGAGCTGCTTTTCAGGTCGATTAAATGGAATCCTTGCGTCCCTCACTTGCGTCGTTTCCCTGCGTTTAGTCCCTCCCACCAGGGAAGCATGGAGAGACGCAAGGAAACCACGAGAAGCAGGGAAATTAGTTTTAAGAGCAATGGGACGTCCTTTCTTCCGGAGCGTCACGTGAAGCGACGTCCGCAGCAGCAGCTCTGTCCCCGTTATTTTCACAAACACCTCGGCCTCTGTTAGTACACATTTACTGACACAAACATTTGTATCATCTGTTGTAGACCCAAATACATTAAATAAAATAAGAACTCATTCTCAAAAAAGATAAACGCCATTCTTAAAATGTATGAACGAAAAAAGCGATTATGAAAATGTTTCCAATAAATGAATAAAACATTTTTTGACCACTTTGTTGTTCAGATATATTTGTAACTAAATGATACATGAATTGAAACAAAACACAGTATAGACTGAGGAGTGACTCTCGTGGGTTTCATGTATTTTCTTCACTCCGCTGGGAAACTGCTCTCATGTCAAGAAGCATCAGATCAGTGCATGCGCTGCATCGTCTAATCAGGGAGCGATACACAGTAAGGGGGCGGGGCGAGTATCTGTGGATTTCATCGGAGGATGTTCTGGTGGTTCCTCGATTATCGTCCCACGCTCCTCCGGCAGAAATAAGCGCCATGGGACGGTACTCAAGATGGCGCAGACAAATCAACTTCCGGTGAGACCGAGGACCGACGAGCGAGGAAATGAAAATAATCGACCTGAGATGCAGCCAGGGTTTTATTTTCTGACGCTGCGTGAGTTCCCCGACACACCGGGGACACATCTTTATGTATAAAATACATCAAAAAGTGCATTTTGCATGATAGCTCCCCTTTAAATAATATTGAGCAGAAAAGTCAGATCTTTTACTAAAGTTCAAACTAACAATTTACCTGGACTATTAGTGCGCTGATTCCCACTTTCTCTGCTGTGTCCTCAGGGTCGTCCATTTCTTTTGTCGCTGTGGGAAGTAAGACAGAGGTTAATCATAGACCGTTCTCTTAGTATTTGCCATTTGAAAATATTGATGCAATGTTGTGATTGTGCTAATGTTGTTGAAAAAAGCTTGTTTTGCATTGACACACACTTCCTTTAAAGCAATAATTTACTAATGTCCGTTTAAAATCCTTTCTAATGTACCATTACTAGAATTACTCTGATAAATTAGTACGCCCCCTTTTGATTCGTTTTACTCGAATCAAAAGGGGGGTGCGTATGTCTAGAACTTGTTTGCCCATGAGGGAACCTTTAATGACCTTTAATAATAATAATAATAATTCATTTATTTTATAGGCGCCTTTCAAGGCTCTCAAGGTCGCCGTACAAACACATTTCGTAAATAAAAGGTGTTCATGAGTTGAAGTTTAAATGACTCCTGCTCCATCTATAAAACAAATGTTACTTACAAATATAATAACGGATGTTTGGGGACATGCAAATGTACTTTTGGCACACAGAGGCATGCAATAAAGAACCGATCATTTAAAGTATGACTGTGTTTACTCTTTGACTGGCTCATGTTGTGCAGCATCCTGTTGCGAGCCTCGTTCAGAACGTCCTCCAGAAACACCACCTCCCCGCTGCGGGTGCTCATGCCCCGCACCAGGCCGAAGGGCACATGCTCACACCTGCAAACACACATTCATTTATTAAGAAAATCAGTATAACACTTGGAACAATTTCTCAGTTATAAGTGTGAGTGCTAGTCACAGTTTTAGCTTGATAAGAATGGATACGTATTTTTCGAAACAGCAGTCATTTTGCTGAACGGCCCTTTTTAATGTTATAACATATTAATGGATATCATTGTTTATCTTTACTGATGCATTAACATGTAAGCAGCACTTCAATGTTGAAGTCGGTGGAGGTAAAGCTTATTTTAACACCTATTTGATGTTATGATATTATAGCCTATATGTATTATATGTTCTGTGTTTATCAAATTATTTAAAAACAGTTTTTTATTTTAAAGTTACTAAACTATCAGATGAACACAAAAGGAGTAAAAAAGGAGCATAACATGTCTATAAAACATACCTTAAAAAGTACATACAAATCTAAATAAAATGTTAACTTAAGTGAATGAGTAAATGTATTCAGCAAAGCATGTAAACTGACACAGACAACACAGCTATCTTTGAGAGCTGTTTCTGATTAGAAACCGCGGTCTGTGGGTGGGGTGATGATTTTGTGAAATATTGCTCAATCCATTTTTTTTACATTTGGTTACAATTATAAAGACAGAGAAAATACTGTTCTCAGAAACAGAATATGTATTCCAGAGAAGAACACTTACTTGATTATAAACTATCTCCTAAGACCTGTATACAACTACTACAAAATTAACATTTAAACAAATTCGACAAATCAATGAAACCTCCACTGTGTTATGTTGTTGTTTTTCTTGTTTTTCTTGCTACCTGTCAGCCCAAGAATGTCCCAAAGCACGCAGAACGTGGAACAACTGGTTGAAGTGATTGGCTTGACCTTTATCCGTCTAAAAAAAAGAACAAATATGCTTTCAATTCAGCAAAAATGATCAATATGTAGCAATAACAAGCATGTGAAGAGAGTTCAAGTAAAGAAAATAGACATTCAAGAGTTGTAAAAGTTGCATAAACATTTGATAAACCTCTAAGAAAATTACAGGATTTGACGTCACAAAATAATAATAATAATAATAATAATAATAAGATTCCGTACATTTATTATTGCGCTTTTCCAGATGCTCAAAGCGCTTTACAAATATACATTACACACATGTAGCGGTCATGTAGGAGAAGTGTCTTGCCCAAGGACACAACGGCTTTACAGGCGCAGCGGGGGGTTTCGAACTGGTGCTCCCTTGATCTGATGGTCAACGCACAGCCCACTGCGCCACTCCGCCCATCTTCCCACCTCAAAGTCATCAAGGGACTTTACAAGTACACATTACACACATTACACACATGTAACGGTCATGTACTGTGGACAGTACCCACAGGAGCAAATTCGGGTGAAGTGTCTTGCCCAAGGACACACCGGCCTGACGCAGTGGCGGCGGGTTTCGAACTGGAGTTCCCCAACGCCACCATTGATCTGATGATCAACGCACAGCCCACTGCGCCACTCCATCCCGAACGCAATCAGTTTTCGGAATGTTTGTTTACACTGCAGGGTATGGCAGGGCATTTGTTGCATACTATTTTTTGTTCTGTCAATACATTGGTTCGTAAGAAGGACATTAAAAAAAAAAAAAGTGACACTTCAGTGGGAAAGTCCAGTATTTAATATGCCAATGTTTTTTTATGTTGCATTTGTCTATTATTTGTTATTTCTTGCTCCTGTGTCTGTTAGTCACACAGATTTCACAATCTTATTTGTATTTGTCCCATTCAAATACATGAATGAATAAATAAAGGAATCAGTCAATAAATATATGTAGAAATAAAAGTCTCAATTAGCAAATAAATGAAGTGGTTAATTTGAAGATTAAGAAAAAGGCACATTAATAGGAAAAATTTATGAAAAAGAAAATATATTTATTAGAAAATATACCTATGTTCCTCATTAACTTCATTATTTACCAAGCTATTATTTTCTGTTGACATTTTATTAAGCTTTTTATTTATTTTATTTTTATTAATTACTTTATTTATTAAAATAAATAACACTTTTGATTTGCTTTTTATGTTATTTTTCACAAATGAACCTGGACTTTGTATTTTAATTGTATTTATTTACCTACTTTTTATTGAGTTGTGTAATTGTTTATGAATTAATGGCTGCTTTATTCTTAAAAAGACAGCAGTGTTAAAAATGTAAAAAGTAAAAATAGAAAGCTTGAAACCCCTTTCCTTACCACATAAATCATCTCATCAAAATTGTACTTTTCTTTTCTGTCGATCGCTGCGGCAAGATCCCTGAAATGCAGAATATTAACCGTTACTGTACGGCCACTTTCACTCAAACATCATTTCCTATGCTATTATCATCTGATTACATAGCTATGATCCGTTATGTCATTTTTTAAAAGTACAGGGGTTATAAAATGTAAAAGAATTGCAGATGTAATTGAGTGTATCTCCTCGCACTGACCTGGTGATGTACAGCGTTGTGCCGTCGGCGCGCTGCACCGCACACACGCTGCTCATGTCTCCATCTGTGGACGTATCCACTACACCGGCTCCTGTCCTGAAAATACGATAATACTTTATTGGTCAGATCAAGTCTGAGATTTGACTTGCATCACGGCAACTCCATGTGTAACATCATTATGCGCTTTTACACCGCAGTACTTTTCCCACAAAGGTTCATGAGAACTTAGTTCATCAGAACTCTTTAGTTCTGATGAACTAAATACAGATCGCGTTCACACCGAATAAGTCCCTGGGGGTGGATTAGGCAAATGAAGCCTGACGTCACTTCTACTTCTTCCTGCTTTGGGTTTAATTGGCAGGCCGCAACAACTTCACGGCGGTATACTGCGCCCAAAATCCCCGGGCCGGAAGTCCCGGAGTTGGGGACTGGCTTTAGTATGATACTGCCGCCCAAAATCCCCGGCCGGAAGGCCCCGGATTTGGGGACTGCCTTCCGAGTAAATCGCCAGAACGCCGACACCTCCTCATCTCCACCG